AGTGCGGTGATGTCTGCAAAACTGATGTGCATCGAGCCCCAGCATTGGAGTGGTACACTGAAGCACTTGTTCTGGTTTGGCATCGTAACAAGAGTTGATTTGAGTCTGTAGAGGCTGTGTAAGGAAAGTCGCTGCCTGGCAGAATTTCTAAATACACTTCAACTTTTGACTTGATAAGGTGGAAACACCTTGTTGGCGTCAGGTGATGCTGAAATTTATGGGGACTGTAATTTTTCTAAGAGGTAGCTGACTGTGTCACTGAAGGCTGAGGGGAGATGAATGAATGATGAGCTTCCAGAGAGAAAAGCATACATGATAGCATGGCTGCATGCTTTAAAGAGGCTGCTGCCAGTGGGATGAATGGACAAACGTGACAAGCTGGAGGCATGTATGGGTTGTATTTTAAATGTTGTGCAGTGGAGTGAAAATGTGTCACCCTTTTCCCCCAGATTTCTTCTGTTTTTGCATATTTTTTATCATGATATCACATCAGCAAACATTGATTAAAGTAAATAAAAAATGCAGTTTTCAAAAGATGATTTTTGTTAAAAGTCAACTTCTCTGAAAAGACACATTCATTATTTTTTCTGATATAATTGGTAACTCTGAGTTTTTCATGAAGGCTGAACATTAATGGCTGAACATTAAAAAAGTCTCCTTCAGCTTTACCCAGCATGTTTCTGGCCCCACACACACCAGGGGGCACACTCTGGACCTTGTTTTTAACCTGGGCCTAAATGCTGACAGTGTTAGTCCTGAGGACATTTATATTTCAGATCACCATTACATTTTCTTTAAAGGGACTTTACGGAGTTTTGAATTTTTATGCTCGCGATTGCCCCCTCAGGCCAAAAGCGTAACCGCAGCTTCAATAGTAGGCTCGTGCACGAGGCATGCTGTACGTGCACACTCCTTAACGAAAATAACAGCTGAGACAGTCCCTTGTGTGTGTGTGTGTGTGTGTGTGTGTGTGTGTGTGTGTGTGTGTGTGTGTGTGTGTGTGTGTGTGTGTGTGTGTGTGTGTGTGTGTGTGGGTGGCCCGGAGGACAGAGGACAGGAGAACGCGCAGCTAATTAACACACAGCTGCACTCCTGGACAATGGTGGGAGTAAATAAGCATTAGGTCAAATGAATTGACATAATCTACATAGATATGAAATAGCATCGCTGTAGTAGTCTTTTATTTTGAAAATTACCAGGGGTTTTACACTGAAACTCTATGTGATTTCCTGTCTAGCCCTAAGTTAAATGAGGAAATTGTCATGTCCCAGAAGGTTCATGCCAAAAATAGAGCCCAATCCTATCTTAAGCGCCGCGGGTTGCTGCATCTTGGATGCGTCTGGAAATTTCCATGTTTCCAAATGGATTCCATTTGAAGCAGCGACGTTCCGCTGCCGTTCCGCACAGCTGATGCTTCCACTGTGAAGTAGGGACTAACGTGAGTCCCATTCTGATGTTTTCTCTGGAGCTAGCCGCTAGCTCTAGCTCTGACGCTAATGCTACCTGTCACTCAAATCTAATTATTCATAATTTCAAGCATTTAATTATACCTAGACACAAGAGTTACAAATTCACCCCCCTCCCACCCCCCCCACCCCCCGAGTTGTCATGAATATAAACTAGAGATCAATTAAACCTAAAATGGTTTTTGAGCCAGGCTGTAAACTTGTTTATTTCTGCTGTCAAATTGGCATTTTTATCAAAAAAAAGAAAGAAAAAAAAAGAAATAGAGTTTCATTTATTTATTTATTTTGGCAGGCTGGATCCTCCTTATCCCGATACATCTGGTGTTAAACAAACTTGGCATTTAAGGAGGTGAATGTCATACCAACAGTTAAACACAGTGGGGGCAGTGTGATGGTCTGGGGCTGCTTTGCTGGACCTGGACCACTTGCTGTAAATGATGGGAACTATGAATTCGGCACTCTAGCAGAAAACCCTTAAGGACAATTTCAATCATTCCTTCAAGAGCAGCTCATGCAATGGGACAATGAAAAGCACTAAACCAAAATGAAGGCTTTGAAGCAGCCTGGTCAAACTTCGGACATTAAAAAGATACTGTTATCTGACCTTCTGGAACAATCTGCTAAAACAAATTTTTTAGAAGAAGCAGGACAAAATTCTATCTTACGTCCGATATTTAGTTATCACAAACACTTACCTCAAAGGGTGTCACAAGTTACCAGTTATTTAGTTTAGAAGGTTGATTACATTTTTCACATGAGGCCAGCTTGGTTTGCAGAGCTTCTTGGAAATCATCTTTTGAAAGCTTCATTTTATACGTATTCAAGTTATATTTGTCTAGTAATTACATGTGCTTGCTGACCTGAAACATAAAAAACAAAGTTTTTGTAAACATACAGAACTTTTCATAGAATTGTCTAAGATTCAAATTTTATTGTACTTTGATAAAAAAAAGTCACCTCTTTATTCAGCATGAGCATCATTATGATTGGGAATAAAGGTAAGATTGCTATAATTCTGAAGTTACGTAAACATGGTGTTCAGCATTATTCGTGTCTTTACACGTGTCATGTTTCCTGTGTGGTCTTAAAAACCTTCTCACAGATGCTGATAAGAAGCCAGATGGTTCTTGTCCTGAAGGATGCTGGGTCCATAATTACCAAAACTGTAGCAAATGTGGATTTTTCTAACTGCAGGACATTTTCACACGTTGCCTCAGAACATCGCAAATGAAATAAAAGTTCAGAGAAGACATTCGTGCATCTCGGTCAGATATACAATATCTACGTAATGTGTTTTCTGTCCTCCTGGGTCCAGGAAGAGCGTTCTGATTCAGACTTGTGTCTATTTAAATGTGGGTCCAAAGATCACAGCCATTTAGTTTTTGGGTTTTAACTTGTCATCTTATTTTTCCCTTTGTATACTTTTTTTTAAAGATTCCTTCAAACTTCTAACAGGACTAAAGAAGACAAATCTTCACACTGAAAACACTCCTAATTTGTTTTGCTCACATATGGAGTTTTGAACTCATTTCCATCTTTGCTTTTTAAAGGTCTCGTTAACTAAGAAAACGTGTGATTTTGATCAGTAAATCTGAGTTGCATATGCATGCTGAATGTGAAAATAGCCGCCTGCATTAGTCACAGAAGGGAAATGCTGGGGGTCTCTTCTACATTACAGGAAAAATTAATTTTCAGGGTCTCGCCCACCTTGGATTGGGAAGGAGAAAGCACAGAGCGTATCGGCTAGTAGAAGCTAACCATTAGCATTAGCAGCTCCCCAACATGATGGATCACGTTCAGGCTTGTGTTATTTGAGGAGAAAATACATCAACATGGCTTTTTTCACCAAAGAAAAAACGTAAACGAAGGCAGCAGAAGAGTAGTGCAGCTGTTAGCCAATCAGAACACAGATGCTCGTACAACATGAATAATAACAAAAAAGACTCCTAATCCTGTCTTTCTTTACCTCCCACTCCTCTGACTAAAGCCCACTTCTCCATCTGCGTAGGTGTGGAGACATGCATCACCATTAAGCGTTGGTGCTAGGGATCCCCGACAGGCTCACAGAGGCTGATGGAGACATGCCCAACTTTTAAACTTTGTTAAATGTCTGTCGAAAGAGACCGCAAGCTTGTGATTGGTCAGGGCGCCAGTATTGCAGCAGACACTGAAAAGACTGAAGAATGCCTCATGGACAAAGTCCAAAAATATGAATGTTTATTCACCCGTGGCTGAAGGAGTACAAAGATATGCAGCAAGTGTTACTCGTGGACAGAAATGATGAGAAACGTGGGTCCAGAGGTGCCGATCGCATGAAGAGGTGGAACAATGAGGGATAAATTTGTCCATGTTAAAAAGTCTCTGAAACACATTAAAACAATGTAAACAAAATAGTAAATACACTGTCTTGGACCACATATGTGACTGCAATGGTATCAGGATACCTCAGAAAGCGCTACGCTCTCTGTCGTCCTGGTGGGGAGTTGCTTTGCAACGCTCCCCAGGTGACATAGAAGTCAGAAGGGAAAACATCTACCATCAATGTATGTGCATGACTCCACACTCGAGCTGACAGAGAAGTAAAAATCAGGCTTAACTCCTACTTCATGAAACAGGAGCACCAGAGCTTCTTTTCCACAGAAAATGACTCGCAAGGCATTCATTTATAATAGAGACCACTGCAAAAGAAGTGTTGATACTTTTAAAGTTTTAATCTTTGCAATTCTCATTTCTAAATCATTGCGTCCTTCTTAGTTGCAGCCTCCAGCCGATGATGACCTGAATAACCCAAAGTCAGCAGTCATTTTCAGGTCTGAAGATCACGGCCCATTCATCATCCTGGCAGAACTATTTAAACCTGGTCTTCTCTTGAGTTGTAGGAAGATGCATATCATTTAGAAACCCATCTTTGTCATAGCCAGTTCACAATTTAATAATACTAAATAAATTCATCTGTAACTGTGGACTTTACAGTTAATCGTGAAGTCTCTGACCTCACAGAAATCAATTTGATTTGAACAAATGTTGCTTTTGTTAGAGTTTGTGATCTTCTGTAGCTGTGCTGCTCCATCTCCGTTTTCACCCTTTTGTTTTTACCTCCTCTCACACTCTGTTCTCTCTTTGTCAACAACCTTATTCATTGTGTCCACTAAAGAGGCCTGGACTCTCACACAATGGCCTTGTTCTCTAGACTACTAAAGGCTCACTGACGGTGCACAGTTGGTCCTGTGAAGGCCAACCAGATACCCACAATTCAACTCTGTAACATCAGCATGGCGAGTTTGTGTTATGTTGTTCCACGTCAGCTGAAGCATTAGGTTTCATTACTTGTGTGTTTCGGAGATGAAGTGTGTTCAGTAAAATGACCTGGTGTTGTTCTACTGCTTTGTTGTCAGAGGGACTAACATGTCCTCTGTCCCTCCCTACCTCCTAGCTTGTCCGTAGGAAGGTTTACGTGCACTTCTACTCACTGATAAAACCAATGTCATCAGTTTCTCAACCTGATATTATTAATTTATTTCTTTTTCTTTGCAGGACGCAGGCAGAAATGGCGCATACATGTCGTGGAACAATAAATCTGGCCACAGCGCACATCGACACCGAGGATGCCTGCAATATCGTGTTGAGCAGTGGTGGGCGCACTTACCACCTGAAGGCTAGCACTGAAGTGGAGCGGCAGAGATGGGTCACAGCTCTGGAGCTGGCCAAAGCTAAAGCCATCCGAATGATGAATGATCAGTCTGGTAAGAGCAAACCTAAGCACCACGATGTGATATTTTTGTCGTAGAAGAAGAAAAGTAGTTATGAATCGGTTGTGCAGCAGGATGGTTGGAATTTCCCCCTGCCTCAAAGACGCTCGTACAGACTTCTGTGTTTATCAGAGGGGAAAGGTGAGTTTGTTACTGGTTTAATGAGATCATTAGCATGCATCTCAGGGTGGTCTACATGTATGGATTTATCTGATTATGCTTCAGCTGCTGGTCTCCGGTGTTCTCTGCTGTTTGGTATTCCCTGCAGCTGCTGGTTCTACTCACTCTCTTTGCCTTTAATTGAATTTACATTCCATTGTGAGCCAGGAGAGGGCAGCAGTGTCTCCCCAGTCAAGATAAAAAAAAAAAACAACAACAACAACTGTAGTATGCTAATGCCACTGTGAGAACTGAGCTGCCATTCAGGACTCTTAACAACAGACCTCTCTCCTTTCCAAGGAGGATTGTTGTTCTTTGGCTACATTTGACGCTGTTGGTCAAAGGCTGTGGGAAACGTCTGGATGACTGTTTTTCATGGTTTACCTTGGCACCAATCCAGAGTGTTTCTGCTTCAGTCTGAAGCCAGCAGGATCTACACATATTGAGACAGGCTATATAATCCTCTGACCTCTAGAGTTGTTTTTTTTAGTATGTTTTTTGTTGTTTTTTAACAAAAAAAAAAGCAAAAGTTTTGCTCACTTTATGCTTATGTATGGCACGGGGAGTCCACACCAGACTTCATTTTGTTCAACTACATAATTTGTACTTGAATGATGACGGAGTTTCTGAATCTTTAATTCTTTTTTTAAATATTGTTTTCCCTTTTCCCCACTCCTGTTAATGCAGGGATGTCAAACCGAAGTTCACCAGTGTGTTACATTAAAAATTTAGTAAAAGTAGGTCAACCTTGGTCAGTGTCTCTTGAAAATGAAAGTATAAACGGATGTTTTTTTTAGATGTCTTCTGTCGAAATATTAACCATCTAAAGTAGCAATAGATAGTTTTTCAAACTTTACGCTAGAGCGTTAACATTGATCTCATTAATTGTTGTATTAGAAACTTGACCAGTTTCCTATTTTAAACCACTCTGCTGTATAGATCTATGGGATGCGGGGGGGGGGGCTCTTTATCTGCTTTAAGGCTGTTAGCTGTAATGCTAGCGGTTAGCATTTTCCGTTCGCTGATCGTCAATAAAAAGCTCAAGAAGAAGAAGAAGAAACTTGCTTTTTAAGTTTTTATGTTAGCATTGTGGCGGAGCAAAAAGCATTATGGCGGAGCCTGGAAGTAAAAGTAAGAGAGAAATGTCTGTGGAAGCAAAGCAAAGAGCTAAAACCAGAGTGAACATTGGCACAGCCTACACTAGTGGCCTGGCTCCAAAGGGGGCCCCCGGTGACCCACGTCTGAGTGAGGGAACAATGTACGGTACTCATCAAAAGGGGTCTGTGGGTTGCTGTTTGTCTGATCCTTCTTCTAGGACCTGTCTGCCATGGGTGACCCTAAAAGAGGCACAACGCCTCAGACAACTTAGCTCCTAGGATCATTGAGTGCGTTTACATGCAGCCAGTAACCCTTTTAAAACCCGAATATTCACAATAACCCGGTTCCGCAGGTCCTTGTAAACACCGCCAAAAACCCGGATATGCTCATAACTGGGTTTTTAAAAACCCGGTTACTACACCTGGGGTAACCCTTTTCTAACATGAATGTTTGGTCGTGTAAACGCATATCGGGATATCCCCATCAAAGCGTGTGTTCTGCGCATGCTCTGTTCGCAAGGAATCTTGGTCTTTTGAGTAGCGAGACGTCTTGTATGCGCCAGAACAACGGAAGTAAACAACAAGTTGGGAGCAACATGGCGAGTTGCGGCACAGCACCACACTTTTGGAGTGACGAGGAAACTAAAGCGCAAACAAATGCGGTCGCTATCGCTTCCAAACTGGGAAACATGTTGTTGTTTTCACGGATACCGGAACAAGAAGAACCGGAAATGACGCATATTGAGTCTGGACGTAGTCCATACGTCCTGACGCTACCCCAATGTACACATTTAAATGGGGTTATGCAAGTTAGGGGTAACTCTTTCTATTTATGCTTGTAAACGGATTATTCTGATCAACTCAGAAACCCGAATACCGACCTTAACCCGATCATCACTCGCAGAGAACAGACACTTCTCTTTTTGTTCCCTTATCTTTTTTCCCAAGGCTCTTTTGTCCTGTCTGCCCACAGAGCGCTTCTCTGCATTTCTTCTGGAAAACCCTATTTTTAAATAATGGATTTAATTAATTGGTCATTCAACGTGATTGATAAGATTTTTTCAACAATGAGGACGGAGATGGGGGCTCCCACTTGCCCGCAAGGGACACACCCGGCGGGGTATATGCTCGATTCCTGGAAGGAGTGGAGGATCGTATGCCTCTCCCAGCTGTCCATTGAGGACGTCGAAGACGTGTGGATGTTTGGCCTGATGATCACTGGATTTCTTCTGATTGGAGTGGGAGGGTATCTGGTCTTCTGGAAATTTGGGAAGACGGGAGCGATTGGAGGGCGACCCGCACCCACGGAAAGCACCGTCTATGTTGAGACCTCACAGACTGGGACGTTACTCGAGGTGAATCGTAAGCTGGACAACGTTCTAGCTGCGATACAGGTATTAGTGTGCAAAATGGATGTCATCTCGGAGAGGGTCACCGGATGGTGTGGAGATGTTTAAAACCTAAATTGGCTTCACTGGAGGACTGGAATGATCAGTTAAGGACTGAAGGCAGAGAGGGAAATTATCTCAGCCTGACCCAAACAAAGTCTTGTTATCCGAATCTGACGCCATAGCAGCCTTCGAGATGCAAACAACAAACCCCCACGAAGCTGTGAAAACCCGACAGCCCCCCCCCACCCCCACCCCCCCGGCCTTCGGATTGGTGGACTTCAGCCTGGTGAGGTCATCAACCTGCAGGAGTCACTGTGCTCTGTGCTCCTCCCAAGATCTCCCTCCCACCTGTGGCTACAGTGGCTGATCGCCTTGAGATGGTTGATCTTGCTGGGGAAACAGGATGCCAGCCCCCCCCCCCCCCATCCTCTTGGGCTCTCATGTTGTGAACTGTTGATGTTCGTGCTTACATGTTTGAGGTGTTTTTTGTATTGCAAAGCTACGCCCTGTCGGGAGTAACTCTGGAATGCCTTTTTTTCGCTCCCCCAATTTATTCTCATGTAATTCCCTTTTCATCTAAATGAAATGCTGGCGGCGCGTGCATACGCAGCGGCTTCTCTCTCTCTCCCGTACTTAAGCGAGAGGTTGAGAGTAACGTAATTTCATTTCTCTGTATGTCCTGTACATGTGGCAGAATTGACAATAAAACTGACTTTGACTTTGACTAATGGGTTCATCCTGAAGTGTTGCCTTCCTCATGATATCATGCTTTAAATTGATGTTTTTTTGCTGTTTTTATGCTTTTATTGTTCAGAACATTGGGGTTTTACGATGCGAACGGTGTTGCCAACAAATATAATATTATTTAAAACAAAAATGTATTTACATTTTCTGTTTTACATTACATCAGCATTTTTTACTTAACATCTGTAATTAAATTATTTCATTTGAACACAAAACAGAGTTTTAATCAAAATCTAATGATACAACTATGAACATTCCCCTTGAAAATATGGGAGGAAAAAATCACAAAAAGAAAATATTGAGAAATGAAAATTCTATCACACACTCTGTGGCTCTGATACCAGCAGGAGACACAAACCTGACATCTTTGGTTTGATTCTGCTGCGTTCTGGCTAGCGTTCGCCCACCGAGAGATCCCAGAATGACGTGCTTATGCTTGTGAACTTGAATAATTCCAATGTAATTTTCCTCTTTTAAAGTCAGTAAATTGTTAGTGTTTAAATAAAGTGTGCAGCAGTGGAGGCTCTACCTCTCACCTGTTTTCCGTAGCTGCAGACGGCAGTGGGACAGGACATGAGAGGCTTGAGTGTTTCAGTCCTTACTGGGCTTTGTAGTTTTTTTGTATATCTTTGGGTCAGTACTTAGAAATATGATCAGATTTTTTAATGCTTTAGTTTTATTTTAACTGTATTTTTCTACTATTTCTTCACTCATTTCATCTAATAATTTCCTGTAAAATTTCAATATTTATTATAAACTCATTCTCTGTTATTTGTAAGATTATTCTTTTTCACGTTGGACCAGAACTTTAAGTCTGATCACTTATCTGTTTCTTAATCTACTCATGCTACATTTGCAAATGAGTTTCTAGCTAGTTTGCTTGAGCGTCTCTGTAGATTCAACAGGGGGCAGTGTTTCCCTCACGTTTTAATTTCACCTCTGTTCTTTTACCACTGCATGCAATGTCTACCACAGCCAGAGAGATCACTTGTTCCAGTTGTGACTAGAATCTGACAGACTGACATGCAAGCATATTTGAATATAACATCCCAGATGAAATCATTTTATGGAATCGGATGAAATGTTGGAAGTTTGAGGATGATGAAGACAATCATCCAATCCAGGGTTCCTCCCTAGGATTTCACCTGGTACAGCTGGATCAGTGAAATGCTCAGCCTCTTCAATTGAGTGGTGTTAAACTTTAACTTACTCTGCTTTGGTTGTTCCTTTTTATTGTTTTCTGGGACCGTTCTGTTTTATCCTTTATTTGAAACTTTTCTGTCCCTGATGATAGTGAGCTGTCCGTGGTGCTGAAACTGTAAAGAATTAGAGGACGAAGTGAGAAATGTTTAGCATCACATCTTTAAATAAGCTTCATTTATCACCTCGCGACTGTGCCTTACCCCTCCCTTCATGCTCTGTCTGTTCTTTCATTTAATTTATTTTACCTTCCATGCGTTCTCTCCAGCAGTCGCTTCTCCTCTCTCTTCCCACCGCCTTTTCACACTCCCTGTCTGGTCTTCCCGCCCCCTCCCGCCCCTCTCCCGATTTCCCCATCTCTTTCTCTCCGTGAGCCATCTACTCTGCTTCCCGTCCAGCTGGG